TTACACACTGCCTGTGTCTGCCCCCATACTCATCTGATTAAAACACTTGCTCCCGGGTAGTATGGCGCTGATGCAGGCTGGAGCTCAAGATGCACTCAAGTAGCCGTGACAGCCCCCCCCCCCCCCGCCCAAGGGAACAGCGCCCCTGTGTGTTTCGGTGTAAAACGTGATTCAGGCAGGTGGGTTGCCTTCCCCTGGGACTTGAACCTTTGTCCTTAACTAGCACACAACTTGTAACCGCATGTGTTTTGGGACTCGATCCATTTAATTAGTGCTTTTTAAAAACTGCATCACTAACGCAGATCAAGTGGTAAAGTCCCTGAGCTGTAAAGAATCGGGCTCTGAAAAAGGGGGCCAGTACCCAAAGTCCAGTTAAGGGTCAGTTGTCTCTTAGAGCTACTGTGCTTTGACTGGTTACCTGTTCAGTCGTGTTCAGCTTGCTTCTCCGCCATCCTCGGGACCTTTCACTGTCAGCTTTCACTGAAAAAAGTCCACATAGTCTACAAGGAGAACAGTCTGTTGGGTTGATAGTCTACAAGGAGAACAGTCTGTTGGGTTGATAGTCTACAAGGAGAACAGTCTGTTGGGTTGATAGTCTACAAGGAGAACAGTTGAGCTTTTCTGCTTTAGCATCCAGTTACTGTGTGCTGGGGGGGGGATGCATCTAATGTGAGCGTTTGTCATTATTAGTGTTTCAGCTATCTGTGGGCACAGTGCCGTAAGGGTGACTGGGTGGGGGGGGCATGTAGTCCCCTGGTGCTTGTTGTGCTAGAGGGCAAGGTGGTGGAGCTGCTTCTAAGCTGGTCTGTCCCCCCCCCCCACCTCCCCACGATCACTGTTCCCTGATACCCTGAGGCTCCGAGATGATCCCCCCCCCCCCCATGGCACAGTGCCACCTCACAGCTACTCCGCAGCCCTGCCCCCAGAGCTGGGACGCAGTCAAGCATTCCAGCCCTCTGCTGGGGTGATTTATTGTCCGTTTACTCTCACGCTTGGAAACCCGCAGGATCCCTGAATATGTGGATAAAAGAAGTCATAGGTCATGCGATCAACAATACCAGAGCTCAGTTTTGGTATAATAATTAGCTAGGAAATGTTCATTGATATTGCTTGGTGTCCTGGACTCAAACCACCACCTCTAACCCACAAACAGGCTGTCAGATTGGGGCTCTCTCTGTGAGATGTAAAAAAAGCATTTCTTTTCCCGAAAGGGCAGGGGGGATTTGAAAGAAGCTTCCTGTTGCTGCTGTTGAATTCAGTCGAATTGCAATAAAAAAAAAAAATGCAGGCGATAAAATGTGACTGCTTCCTCTCGTTTGGCGGTTCTCTCATGTTCCCTCTCCCTCCCGTGTTCCGCCGTCGCCTAGGTGATGAGTATCCTAAGCAACCCCAGCACGGTGCCTTCCCAGAGCCAGCACGACTTCTCCATCTCGCCGCTGCACGGCAGCCTTGAGGCCTCTAACCCCATCTCGGCCAGCTGCAGCCAGCGCTCGGACCCCATCAAGAGCGTCGACAGCCTGGCCTCCTCGCAGTCCTACTGCCCGCCTACTTACAGCACCACCAGCTACAGCGTGGACCCCGTCGCCGCTGGCTACCAGTACAGCCAGTACGGGCAGAGTAAGTCGCCCCTGCGCCTGCCCGCGCCGCTAACTCCGGGGCTAACATGCGACACCACCCGCGCTTAAATGGGTTCGCGTGTCTGCATGCGCGTCTGCATGCGCCTGCCGAGATAATGGCACGTCAGTGGGGATTTGCCACGCAGCCCCTGGGGTGACAGGAGTGAGGCGTCAGCGGTGCAGAGATTACGCCGCGTGCCAGCTGTCAGCGCCGGCGCCTTCTCCTCGGACGGCTGGCCCACCCACAGGTGCCACGGCCCCCGTCTTCTGACAGCTTTCCGCCCCCATGCCCGTGCCCCCATGTGAGCCGGCAAGCTGACACACGCCACTTACCGGCAGCCCAGCCAAACGTTGGCACCGTCAGTGCATCAGAAACGCTCAGAAACAAACAGGCGGGCTGTCGGATACCCATATTACCTCAGGGAAGGCCAACACATCCCCCTCTTTCATCTCCATTTCCCCATCCTCTCTTTTCCCGCTCTCTCCCCCTCTTTCGTCTCCATTTCCCCATCCTCTCCGTTCCCGCTCTCCCCCTCTTTCGCCCCCGTTTCCCCGTCCTCTCCGTTCCCGCTCTCCCCCTCTTTCACTGCCGATTCCCTGTCCTCTCCGTTCCCGCTCTTCCATCCTCTTCGTCCCCGTTTCCCCATCCTCTCCGTTCCCGCTCTCCCCTTCTTTCGCCCCTGTTTCCCTGTCCTCTCCGTTCCCGCTCTCCCTGTCTTTCTCTGCCGATTCCCAGTCCCATCCCCATTCTCTCCTGCGCCCTTCCCACATCCTTGCCTCCCATTTCCGCCTGCGCCCTTCTCCCTGTGAGGTTTTACACCCTGTTTTCTCAGCCCGCAGGAGCCTCCTGTCTCAGGTTATTCCCTGTGGTTAGAGGCTGCCTGCAGTCTAACCTTAATAATAACTAATTGCATTATAGCTGGGGTCAGGGGTCCCATACAGGCCAGCAGTGCATTGGGGGTTAGGGGGTTAATGGGTGCTTCCTCACCCTCTGCCCCAATGTCTTTCCCCTTCGCGACATGCCCTTGGTTTGTCCCTGCCACCCCCCCCCCTTCTCCAGCCCTCTTAACGCCCCTCGGCTCAGGGCAGTTAAATTGAAACCGCGTGAGGTGCAAGTGGGATCAATACCAGGCTCCCCCCTGCAGCAGGGAAGTGGCGTGCCCCCCTCCCACCCTGGCCCCGGCGCCTCCCGCAGACACGTGCTGCCGATAAAGATCTCCCGTGGAGCTGCACCCTCCGGTGCTGCGTTTAGTCACACTCCGCTCCCGCACAGGGGTGGGAGGTGTACGCTTCAAAGGCCACCGGACACCCTAAGCTGGTCAGACTGCCCACCCCAAGATAAGCGCACTCCATGCGACCTCGGCGCAAACCTGCCCGCAGTATCTGCCAGACTGACACTCAAACGTGCCGGCAGTGACGTACCTGGAAATGAGCTTGAAATTTTTATTAAATGTGCTTTGCTTTTATTGGAGTCTATAAAATTTACTGGCAAATATTTTCAGATATTTTATTTATTGCTGTTAACGGTATAGCCAATGGGAAAGCCAGTGATGTCAACAATGGTTTAGTGTGATATAGAATCCTGGTGTGAATTATTTCTCATAGCCCCCAGGTAGTTCACTTTTTTGCTCCCTCTCTGACAATCCATATTTTTGCTCCCTCCCTGAGGATCGGATTGGGAAACACTGATGTAGATGAACTTAGTCAGTAGCAGTGGGATTGTGGGTTTGATCCCCCCCCCCCCCCCCTGCTGTGTGGAGTTTGCATGCTCTCCTTATGACTTGTGTGTTTTCTCCCACAGTCCAAGGTCATCCTCTAAATCACACATATTATGTATTAGCATGTGTCTGCACAGTGATGGATTGGTATCCCATCCAGGGTGTCCCCCTGCCTTGTACTTCCTGGAATAGGCTTCAGCTCCAGCTCCCCCCCCCCTATTATAGAATAATAGTTAAGAGATGGATGGATTCAATGAAAAAGGAAAACAGGAAAAGATCTTTGAAAGTGAGACAATGGGAAGTGTCAGACAGATCTTGCAAAGAGGGTAACATTTGATATCTGATGTCATTACAAGATGTGTTGGGATGCTCGGGACCCTGCAGAGAACTATTTCTTAGATCCAGTGGTGAGACTGTTACAAAATCGTCTACTTCAGTTCAGCATTTGTTGTTTTCAGTCTGTCCTCTTTCTTATGCGGGTTTTTTTTTTATATATAGTAGCTGTTTTCTTTGCATAACCATAGAGATGTTGGTTTATCTCCATCCAAACTGCATCTGTGTACATGCGTGCATTTGTGTGTGAAACTGGAGGTCGCCGCTTATATTTTGAGAGCAGATGGGTGATAAACGCGGGCTGCTGGCTCACGGCAGCGGGCGAGATTAACAGGGGGCTGACAAACGTGACAGGCCGCGGTGGGGCTGGTGATGTAAGCGATAGGCGACGGCGGCGAGCATGCAAACCGCAGTGACAGGCCTAATGAAGGCCGGCATGCAGACAACCCGCCGGGACAGTGGTGAGTGACGCGTCGTGGCACACAGGCCTGACTGGGAACACGGGGCCTCTGCCACCCGGAAGAGAGGGAATATGAGAAAGAGAGGGAGCAGAGGGAAGGGAAGAGAGCCAAAGATCAAATTTGGGAGAAATTTGGAAGTGAAAATGTAAAAGGGTAACACTGGATATCTGATGTCATTCCAAGATGTGCTGGGACACTCAAGACCCCGCAGAGACCTATTTTTTAGATCCATTGGTGAGATTAGGAGCTGAACGTGCACATGTTTCTTTTTTTTGGGGGGGGGGGGTTGTTTATATGTCTATGTGCATGCTTGCACGTTTGCAGCCACAAATGCCACTTACTCATAGCCGCAAATGTTCACCAGCTGTGTCTCTCTGCGTGTCTGCAGCCGCCGTGGACTACCTGGCGAAGAACGTGAGCCTGTCCACGCAGAGACGGATGAAACTCGGCGAGCACTCAGCTGTCCTGGGACTGCTGCAGGTGGAGACAGGACAAGCATATTGACACCACCCCCATCACCCACCCCATGCCCCTCCCGACAGGCTGGGACACCCCGGCGACCCCGTCCCCAGTATCAGCACTCCGCTCCGAACCTAATGTGCGCTCCAGTGCAGAAGCACTTCCCAGAGCTTTGTGTGCGCGTGTGTGTGTGTTCGTGTGTGTGTATGCCCGTCTGTGTGTGTCTTAGCGTTGCCGTGGGAGCTCTGGAGCCGAAGCAGCCAATCAGCGCTCTCGTTCCGTGGCTACGAAGCAGCCAATCGGCGCTCTCGTTCCGTGGCTACGAAGCAGCCACTGAGGGTGAGAGGGCTTTGAAAATAAACATTCAAAAAAATAAACAAATTAAAAACAGCCATTCCAATACCAGCCATCAAACACCTCCCCCAGTCCCCCCCATGCTCCTGTTCAAAGAGCAACTGGTTCAGAGTCTTTCAGGACTCGAGCAGATATGAAGACAACAAGCAGTCATCGCTACAGCCAAAACCACAGCCCACTGGCGGCAAACGTTAGCACACAACATCCGTGGCCGTATCTCCCTCCGGATTTTGGACTTTGCTGTTGATAGTAGCTTAGTGATTGTCATAATAATTCAATTTGTTACTATTATTGTTATTGCTGTTATTATTCTTGATGTTGTTATTATTCTAATTATTGTAATTATGTTGTTTCAAATTTTTTTTATTTGTACATTATTTTCTTCACTAGGCCTTGGAGTGATATGTAAACAGATAAGTGAAGGAGTTTTGAGCGAGAGGACAGCTACCACGCGAAATCCTGGGGATATTAGTTTTCCAGAAGTGCTCTCTCTGTCTTAATGGTCACGAGTGATTTGACCTTCCTGTTTTAAGCTCGACATTCCGGCAGTACTCGGCCATTCCGTGGAAAAAGTCTCCACTGGGTGGGAAGTATTTGAGAGCGACCCCCCCCCCCCCCCCCAGCCCTTCCGAAACATTCATCCATTCCATCCCTATCCTCATCTTCAGACAAGATTTGGGAATTTGTAAAAAAAATATAAAATAAAAAAAGCAGAAGTGTAGAGGTCAGAAGTGTAGAGGGCTCAGATCACACTCATTAGTGTAAAAGGGCTCAGATCACACTCTTTAGTGTAAAGTATAGAGCATGACACTCCAGAGAAGGAACAATCTCTACTCACTCTCTACTCAGCAGCACTGTAGGCCAAGGCTAACATAACGCCATAGCCCCTGAACACATGCTGAACAAAGAAACACCTCACTTGTTCTACACCATACAGAGGAACCCAATTCATGAAATTTCACATGAAGTACCAACAGTACTTTCAGACTTTGTACATTCCCCTGATGAGCACAGCGTACAGTCCGTGTCTCTGCGATGGATAACATCAGCTGTCTGCCCCAACTGGGAGAGCCGAGTCGGTTTCCAGGTCCAGCATTTACTCTGCAGCGGCTGCCGTACCCAGAGCAAATAACGTTCTTCCAACTTTGTCAGAAAAATAGCACTAGTCTTTCAAACCACGACTGCGACCTCGCTGTTAAAAATCACGTGTAGTTTTGACCGACCAGCAAACTCACACGACCAGAGGGTTAATGTGCCCTGATTTGATTGTAAAACCATGTTTGCATGGCCTTTAGCACCAAGACCATAAGAAACTTCGCGTTCCAGTCCGCACACATTCGCATACGGATGCTCGAGGATAACGAAATAAACATTTGCATAGCACTCAGATAACATTGAACAAAATCTACTGTGTGAAGTTAAATATAAAGATGATTGTACAGTAGATATGAACCAGATTGTGTACCGGTTGTCTGTATGGAGTATGTTTTATACTAAAACAATGAAATGTGCCGTGATGTACTGAACAGGGATCAGTTAAAGTCTTACAATGTATATTTCAGTTACATTCCTTAATAATGGTTTATTTCTTTTGTTTGTTTTTCTTTTTAAATATGTTGCGTTGATGTTTTTAAATGAAATCACAGATTGTAATACTTTTACTTGCCTAAAGCAACGATATCTTGACAGAGATATTATTTGTAAATCAACTCACCCACCCCAAGTATTAATAATAAATCATATAAAAGACGTGGGTGATATTTTTATTTGGGAATCTTGAAGACATTCTGGGATCTCCTGCACGGATCGGAAATACGGAGTGCTGCAGCATTCATCGGGAATGCGCTTTGCATTTACACTCACAACCGGATGTAAATTCCTGGTCCGGTTTACTGGTCCGGATTCTGTTCCAGGTGGCATCGTCCTTGGGAAGCACGAAACGGCGTAGGATTGTAGGACTGGCGCCTGAGGCATGGCTAACGGACCAACTGATGGGCTGTGAAGGGCTCGGGGGGACATGCTGCCCCCTGCTGGACCTCGCCTGCACACGCTAAGCTGTCAGGACCCATGCAATCCGCTAGACAAGAGGCCACGACCCACCGATGCATATCCTCATTTTAACGCTTTGTCTTTGTGTATTTTTTAAAAAAATAAGAAAGTAATAAAATAAAATGCTTCTAGTGTTTAGCAGTTATTTCTAACGCTGGCATTAATTGACACTGGGATATTTAAAGCACAATGTGACCTGTCTAAATGCCCAAAAACTTTGTCCCCCACAGACCACCCCCCCCTTTCCGATGCCCACACATCAGCTGGCCCCCCACCTCTGACCTGTTCGCTGTCTTTCGTTGCATCTGTGTTTTGCTTCATGCCATTTCAGTTCAGCATGTGTGTATATCACCATAGCATAACTTATTCTGCTGTATGAAGTATTAGAATAGGTGAAACCTGTATTGTCATTTACTACCTTCAGCCTGTGGGTGTCTTTACTGTAACACTGGCGTAACTGTTACCAATTAAACTCTAAAAACTGGAAAAAGAGATGGCTGACTCCCTTTAATGGCTCCCTGCATAAGCTGAAATTGGCCCGTGCGCAACAAGTCTTGATAATATAATAACTCGTTCAAAAATCTTTTTCATACATTATATCCATGAGAAATGCCAAAATACGGTGAAGCGAAAGAGGCTTCTTTCTGTTCAGCATTCCATATCGCGGCTCTTTCTCTGAAATATATACGCAAACGCTTCCCACCGTAAATGTTCCTCGGCCTTGGCTCTGCTCTGCCGCGGCACCCGGAGCTGGCGCCAAGGAGAAAACATGTCAAACCTCCTCCCACCCATCCAGCGAGAAGCTACCAGGCAGCTATGGGATTGCTGCCATTCCAGAAGGACTGTCTGTAAGCGAACGACAGCTGGTTACAGCTGGATCACCCAACAGGGCTTAAGATGAACCCGTCCCTCCTGACATGACATCTCAGGGAGGCGCTGGGAAGGAGGCTATGCCGGATCCTACGTTCATAACATTGCAGATCCACTTCGTCCTTATTCCAGGGACAACTAGCCAATGGGAAGGGTGGGGGTGGGTGACAGTGATCCGTCCCTTGTGATTGGCTGGATCTTGCCAGCATGGCCTGCTGTTGTTTTGAATGTGATTAACTGAGTAGCCAATGGTGTTCCTTTTTGGAGTGGGTGAAGTAAAATCCTGGAAATTTCCTGCTAGTTTCTAAAGCAAGTTGAAATATTTTCCCACCAAAACCAAGGCCTGGTACTACATCCCCTGACCCAATCCTAAAATCCAGTTTGCAGCTGGAAACCTACAACAACATTGGGCACATTGTTCTTGGAACCTGGTCGGAAAATACAACTGAAATAGAGAAGAATTTATTTTTTAAACTCGGTCTTACTGGCTTAATCATTTCCGGCGTGAGACAAATGGAACCATATGGAGGGAAAAAAATTATTATTTTGGAGTGACTTCCTTTAAAAGGATGGAAGACCTCCTGGTACTTCATTGATTAGAAGACGAAACATATGTTTGCAACCATCTAAAAATTGTATGAGTTATGCCACTGGTCAAATCTAAAACAGAAACAAAGCTAATACTTCTATGACGTTAACCACTTAAATGTCACGTACCTGAAGCACACCAACAAAATAATCCAGTTTTAAAAATTTTAACTTGCTTTAGAATAAAGGGCAGGATAAGCAGTTTAATGTGACCAAAAACAACACAGACTACATGCCAGAGTCATCTCTGTGGGCAGACACTGTAAGCAGAGCATCGCATCGCGCATCACGTATCGCATTGCGCATCGCATCACGCATCGCATCGCATTGCGCATCGCATCGCGCATCACGCATCGCATCGCGCATCTCATTGCAGCGCATCGCATCACGCATCTCATCTCATTGCAGCGCATCGCATCACGCATCGCATCACGCATCGCATCACGCATCGCATTGCGCATCTCATTGCAGCGCATCGCATCTCGCATCGCATATCGCTGCTTACCACAAGACTCGGCACTAAGAGGCGCAGCACTAATTGTGAATCGCGCTTATACTGAAGGACGTCTTAGTCGTAGAGGGTGCTCTGGGGAGACAGCTCAAGCCGTGAAGCAGCCACACCGATGAGAAAATGAGGCAGCAAGGAGAATGACATTAGCTAACTGCTTAGCATAACCAAAGCAACTTACGTAGCCTACGTCTAGTCATTATTTCCATTCATGCAGTGGATCTTTGACTGACACTGCCGTGGTTAAGTGCCCTGCTAATGGACAGCACGTTAGGGCCCCTCCTGGGACACGAACTGCTGACCTTCTGGGTGTAGATCCCAGCTGTTAAACCAGCTCTGGTGAATTGCTGTGACCCAGAGCGGAAACCAGCAGCGACACTGGACCAAGGACTGTTATAGCCTCTAACAAATTGATGAATTTTACTTTTTCGTCCTTGTTTTTTTATTGGACATTTGGACATTGTTTAGTTATGAACTGAATTTTTTGTGTGCATGCCGAGTTTAAATAATTTCTGGCAAAAGGATAATGGATAATACAAAAAAAATCATCTGCTGAGAACCAGCTGTTTTAGTGAGTAAGATTTTCCACTGATGGTATGTAATGTGAATTCAAGATCATAATGTTTTATTAGCGACTGTACAAGGCGATATCTATTTGTACAGCCTGCTATTAGCTTCAATGAACAAAGAAACATTCATTGGCAGACAACATTTAATATTTCAACTTGCACTGAAGCTTATGATGCTACGATGTTCCGTGAGATTTCCCGGAATCAACAAACGTCAAACCCCACTATGAAAAAGGGAAGTTAGTTTGGTTATGGCTGTGAAATCCGGATTATTTTTGGAAAAAAAGATGAAAATAGCAACATTTCATGTTTATTGGAATTTATTGGTACACGATTTGTACAAAGAGTCATTATTTCACACTGAGCACATGGTGAAACATTGTAATGATCTGAAGCATATTGTATATATTGAAAGCAAAAAGACAGAAAATTGACATTCTTGAGACATTTTCAATGATACCGATTTCTATGTATTATGCATTGTGAATAGCTAATGTCTTGATTTGCAGACATTGCATCTCTCAGTCATTGTTCAGAATCTCTTTCAACAGTATCATTTAATGCCAGAGCCTTTGAAGTCACACATTCATGCGATCTTGACAGCGAGAGTGATTCAGTGGCTCCAAAATAGCAGCTTCCAGTTATTGGGTTGAGTCACTACTGAATGAACAAGTACCAATGTGCGTTATACGACAAAAAGAAAAAAACTCTCCTGTTAAACAAGGGCCTCCTTTCTTAGTGCTGCCGACTTCATAGCGAATTCCAGCACCACGTGTGGGCCCCGGGGCTGGGCGCTGGACCCAAATGGAGGAAAAGGACATTTGGAGCAGAGAGCCAGGTCCATCTGTTCTGTCAGATCGTTGGGCTCATCGAAATGTCTCTATCTACCAACATGGGACGGAGAGGCACTTATTGAAGCTTAGGGAGGCAAACTTGTCTGCAAAGTGTCACATGACAGCAAACAGCTTTGGGGAGACTGTGTTAATAAGCTTGGGATGCAACAGGAATTACATTTCCCTGAAGGACTACACTGGAAGACGCACTGGAAGA